GGTGAAGATACCAGTTTAGAAGAAATGTCATTTTTACAAACACTGAACTGATTCAGACAGTGTTTTAAGTTCATCTTTGAGTTTCACCAGGTCTGATAATGTTGTTTTTTTTAAAAAATATTAATCACATAGAAATTGTAAAATCGATTTTTCATCAATCATTTATCAGTACCCTAACTTGAGCAGGTGTTTTTCAGGGTTTCCCACCAGAGTTGAACTTCAACATTTTAAGGCATGTTATTACACCTTTACAAACATATTGGTGAAGAAGTTGTTTGGTAACAATTCAGTTGGCAGATTTGTGAAAAATCTCATAAAAGGCACTTACTATATGGAAGATGTATTGTCAGTTTGAACTTCCTTTGGGAAAGCTAACTGGATGGACTTTGACTATTTTTTTCATTTTTACGCTCTGTTATTTAGGAAAATGCTGTTCTGCATTAAACCTGACGCCCAGGTGCTGCAACATCATGTTACTGCGACAAAAAGCCAAACAGACACACTTCTGGGTTATTCCACCTCAAATCATCAGAGACCTTCTGCTTGAGCGTCTCTGATTTGCATGAACCTTTTTGATCATAACCTCTGGATAATAAAAAATGTGAGCTTGATATATGTATTACTTTTGATGAGCCAGCACCTTGCTCGCCACCTGTTGCTTAAGCATTTTTAGGCTGGATCGGCGTGCTTGGCCCTCGTTCCTCCCTCGTGTATTAGTGAATTCTAAGAAAAGCTTCAGAGATCAGCGCCACGCCTGGCCTTCGTGTTGCTTCAGCAGCAGTTTCTAGGAACTTAATTTGCTTCCCCAGCTGACTTTAAGCTGCTAGTTGTCCCAGAACATTGTTTACTTTGAGGAACAGCAGGGAGCTTTCAGTGATTAAGTGAAAATTCTGAATGATTTAAAAGGTGTGACCGCTTCGTTTTGGGTAGTGACTCAGTTAGGTTGTTGGTAAGTGAGTCGCTGCAACATGCAGAAGAGTTTCGGTATCTTGTGGTGTTTACAAGTGATGGTAAAATGAAGCATGAGATAGACAGATTGCTGGAGTTGTCCCAGGCTCTTGAGTTTACTTGTGAAGCTACATGGCAACCCTGACTTATGAGCTCTGGGATTGACCCAAAAAATGAAATACAAGCAGCAGAAGTCAATTGCCTCTATAGGGTGGCTAGGTTGGAAGAGAGATGGGGTGAGGAACTCGGACATCTGGCGAATCACTGCTCCTTTGCATCAAAAGGTTCAAGGCACTTGGGGAAAACCCCTCAGGATCCTCCAGGAGAAGCTGGAAAATGTGACTGGGGAGAAGAATGTCTGCTTAGCCTGCAGCCAGGACAGATGGGTTAAAGGATGTTATATAGTCGAGTGAGATAAAGCAGCAGGATTTGTTCAAAAACTTTATTGATAAGGCAACACAAAACATGATTGGTTAAAATGAACGTACAGTGCTTTACAGGACACATTTTCACTGTAAGAATTTCTATTGCACAATAAGAACTGTTAGCTGTCGTTGCTAACCTGCAGATCGGACCTGAATGTATGACTATGGCCTCCTTTCTTCAACTCTACGCATCAGGTTTGTAATCAGTAGTCACTATTCTTCAAACATTCGCCCTCCGTTGTCTTGGTCTTGTCTCACACATCATCGTATAAAAATACAAAGAATAAAACACTCAGACTTCATGATCAAACATCGACATCTAAACTGGGCTCACTGGGACGACGTGTCCAGGCCGTCCTCAGTCCATCACTGTTCACCACAATAAAACACTAATGTTGTGTAAAGTACGCGGACAACACAACAGTGGTGGGTCTGATCAGCAATGAAAAGTAAGTGAGCCAACTTGTGGCTTGGTGCAACCAAATGTCGACCAAACAAGAAATCTAAACACGCGCCTCTCTTTAACCCAACAGCACATCTGTGGAAGCACCACATTCTTAAGGGTGCGTATCGTAGACCCTTTGCTACTGAAGAAAGCACCGTAGTGCCTGCAGTTCCTGCTTCCCCCTTCACGTCTCGGTGGAGGTGCCATAGAGAGTAATGTATGGAAGCTGCAGTGCCTTGTGCCAGACGATGCAGAGAATTATAGGAACCTTGCTTCCACTTCACAGTGACCTGTAGCTGTACCAACAGTGCTTAAGGAAAGCCACAAGGATTATCAAAGACTTCTCTCATCCCCATCACGGACTGTTTAACCTGCTGCCCTCTGGGAAAAGGTACCGCCACCAGGGTTTTTCCTCGCTCAGAGTGAACCTGTTGAAGCTGCCGGAAGAAACCCTGGAAGCATGCAGAGCCAGACTGCAAAGCTATAGATGGCTTTCTACTGCAGGAACTCAGGGCAGACGCCAATGTGTACAGGACCAGCCCTGTAACTAGCATTATCAGCCTTTCTGTTTCCACTGCGGTGTAGGATACAACTGCTACATTAACTTTGAATGCAAACAGCATATCGGAGTATTTCTCCCCTAAAGACGGTCCTAAAAGACGTTCTGCAACAAGGGTCAGATCAAAGATTCACGCCAGGGATGCAAATTTTTGCACAACTCGAAATTAACTCAATTGACATCACTCCTTGTTAAGAGGAAACTGCTCTGAACGCAGCTGCATCACGTGACATTACTGCTCTAGTGGCATAGACATCTGCCACTATCCCATGACAACGCTGTCGTAGTGCACTTTAGCCTTCCAACAACATGTGAGCGTTGGCCGGTCGACATTAAACATCACAGGACACTTTCTCATGGTGGCACTTTACTAGCTAAACTCTCACAGTGCTGTATGCTGTTAACATAGAACTGCTGGTAGTTTGACCACCTTCTCAGGTCATCGCAGCATTAAATAGTACGAGGCCCCACCTGGTTGTGCAACCAGGTGCTACAGCTAACCTGCCATGCATTTTCTGGAATCCATGTCCTTCTTCTTCTTCTGCCTTATCGGTTGATATGTTTTTAATCTGTTAAATATACCAACAAATAGGCATCGATTTAGGCTGCCATAAAAAAAGCTTGCAAATTCCTTCAGTGGAGCATGACCTTACGTAAGAGCTTCTTTTTTTGGGATGCAGGACTTCTGACTCTCTGGATTGGCAGCTTTCCACTGCAGGAATTTGCGGAAGGTGTCAAGCTGCGTTTCCAGGAACTGTCACCTAATCTGCCCCTTTAGCCTTTCTGTTTCCACTGTGGTGTAAGATCCAAAAACTTCCACTGCAGCGTTAACTCCAAATACGCCAAAACAACGACAAACCGTAGTTACCGGACCTGCCTTCAGATCTAGGGGCACATCAGGAGCAGAACAATCGAGGTTTGTCATGTTAACCTATTTAGTGAATTGAAGAAGAAAAATACTTTATTTATCCCCGGCCTGGGAAATTACTGTTGTAGATGCCAAGGAAAAGACTGCTATCTCCACGAGGGCAGAAAACGTTGTTCTCTGCCAAGCAGCTTTCCAGAGCTGCTCGTAAGCACCTACTCTAGACTTGGTACTTTTTCTGCCCTGACAACGGCCCTAAAAGAGGTTCTGCAGGGCTGATAATCACAGTGGGAACATGCAGAAACGTTCAGGTTGCCTTAACATGGCCCATACGTTCCTGCAGTGGAAAGCAACTCAATGTAAGAGCTTTTTTTTTCTTCTACTGAACTCCTTTTACATCCAAGCGTATACTGACGACAGAATTAGTCTCTTTTAAACAGACAACTGCTGCTAAATAAATAAAGACTTGCTATTGTAGATTGTACTTATTAAAGTTGCTGGTATTAGCTATGCACATTGCACTTTGGTAGCTAGGATTATGGGATTTCATCCTGGTGTTGCACCTGTTGTAGCTGAAAAACAAAACATTCTCTAAGTAAGTAGATCCACAAAACTAACAGCGAAATAAAAATAAAACACTGTATTTGAAATATTAATGTTTTTCCAGTGTAAAAAAATAATTGCTGTTTTTGTCTTCCTCGTTAAAACTGAGCATTCAGACAGAAATGTGTGGTTTTATTTTTGCTATTTCCTGAAAGAAACGTTGGTTTTGTAAAGATGGAGCGAACGACATGACGTGTTAATTAAAGAGCTTCAGAGTACGACTTTGGTTTGGTTGAACTGAGCAATGCTAACAGTTTCCCTTTGTTTCTAGTCTTTATGTTAAGCTAAGCTAACCAGCTGAACGCCCAACTTTAGGAAGAATTTGAACGGTTCAACTGTTCCTTTAAATAGCGCATTTAAACGACTGCTCAGTTGGTAAAAGTCAAAGTAAAACTGATAGAAGTAGTTTAAAGTGCAGTTCCATCAGTTTCCACTAGATGGTAGATTGATCCTATTGGTTCCATTTAAATAAACATCAGCTTCTCTGTATTTCTTTCTTCTTTTTTTAAAAAGTTTCGTTGAATCATCAGGTGCAGTTCCAGTGACGAACCACTAGGTGGGCTCCTGTCGACTCCCGTTCAAAAAGAATTGCTCTAGAAAGTCTCCATCAGTAACTAAAAAGTAATTTAAAATTCATGCTGGTGGTCTGTTTGGAAATTGTGTCTCAATAAGATGTGAAGGCTTTTATCCTTGTCTTTAATTAGATGTTGGTTTGTCCTGCCCTGGTGGCCTGGTTTGGCCTGGATCGGCCTACTTTGGCCTGGTTCCAGACGAGCTGATGGAGCCGGTTGTTGAGGATGATCTGCTCCTTGGAGTCACCTCTCTGCTCTGTCCTGTACTGGAAAGTGGTCTCCCTGGACTCCTCAGCATGTTTCCCAGCTGCTGATGGACTTTAAAGCCGGTCGTGTTCTCGGCGTTCAGTCGTCGTCTCGCTTCTCCCACCGGCTGAGTTCGTCCTTTAACATATGAACCACTTCAGCGGCCTGTAAATCTGCTCTGTTACAGCTCAGGATGCTGAACCTTTTACAGTGTTAAGAGGATCAGCGGTTCACGGCACGACAGCCCCAACCTCCTGGGAAATCCCTCTCGCAGTGCGCCTAATTCCTGCAAGGAGCTGATGTTCGAAGTGTTTAAGTGAAGCTCAGCTGCTGTGCTGCTTATCAACTCTTCATATGTGGAAATATTGACCTGATTAGTGGATTAATGAAGTCAGAAATTTAATAATTATTGCAGAATTTCCCCCAAAATAAACCCTTTTCTGGACACATCTTGGACTTGATATGTGTGAACTAGATTTTGGTTTCAGAAATGATCACATAACATCATAAGAAAGTAATAAAATGGAGATAATATTGAATTATCTCCCAGTTGTATTTTGAACCAAATGCTAGAGGACAGTTCCAGTCGGTTTTATATACCTTCCTCTTCTCTCGCATTCTAAAAGTCTTTTGAAATATAAATGTAAGCATCCCTTTATATTTCTTTGATTTTTTCACAGAAATGTTGAAGCCCAGGACCCTGCGGTTTTATGGCTGTATCATTCCGTTAAACAACAAAATATTCAACTCGTCTTGAGCTTCATTTTGGACACTTTTTCTCCTGAATTCAGGCTGAACATTTAGAGCTGTGTGTCATGCTAGTTTGGGGAGAATAAATACATTTATTTTGCTTTGTGTAAACTGGAGTAGCTGAAATCTTAATAAATGGGTCAGAAAAATGGCAAAATTTTGAATTGACTTTTATGTAAATGTTTTGTGTGTTCAAACACAAAACATGATTTTTTTTTTTACGGCTGGAAAATATTCTACGTCTTGTGTTGATTTTTGTGCGTATTTGAGAATTCAAACTTCTTTGATTCCAGATATAAACGTGTTTTTCAGCAACGTGTTGCCGTCGTCTTACTGCAGACAGACAAACTTTGTCTAAATCAAATGAACCATGAAATTGGCACATTTTTGAATGACGTTTGGTACCATATTATCAGAGAACAAGTGAATTTAAATGAATTTGAGTTTTTGCAATGGCTAAATATTCTACTTTTCTTACTCTGGTGCTTGATTTTATACAATAAATATTCAAGAATTCAAATACGTTGATCTATGATACCAGCGTTTAGGGATAGCGGCACATTTTTATGCAAAAATTCTCAAAGCTGCACCAAGACATTTTAAACAAAAGTACTGTCTCCATAAAACGTGTTCTAAAATTGGCAAATTTTTTAAAATGAGAAAGTATATCGATAATCTGTGATGATATTTGGTGCTTTGGACGCAGTGAATAGATATTTAGAGAAACTGGAACCATCCCTAGTATTTAAATGCTTTCTGTCCTTGAGCATTTTCGTTTCAAATTCAAACCCCAAAATGTTGGTTTTGTGTCGTAATGATGTCAAAACACCCGCCTCCCTGTTTAAGCTCTGCCTCGGTAAGATGTGATCTGAACTCAGCCGAGCTGTGAACTAAGTTTGTGTGATTGTGGAAATGTGATCGTGTGCGACGCTCAGCTCTGCACGTAATTTGGTGTCTTTATGAATCGCCGCAGTCTGAGTAAAGTTTTATGGGTTTCGGTGATTTGCGAGTCTTCAGGTATGTGTCGAAAATGAGTTCCTTTTTCAACTCGATAGCTGGAGACGAAGAGGGGCGGAGCAACCGCGTGATCGCAGGCCGGCGGCCAATCACAGTCCGCCACAGTCTGACATTATTTATCTGTTGTTGGTGTTGGGCTGGGGAGGGGAGGATTCAGTCCATCTCTGAGGTTGTTCTGGTGGCTTTTCATCCCGTCCGGCCTTCAACGATGATCACTAACACCGGCGTCAGGTCCATCATTTTCTTCAGCATGTCCATGATGTCTGGGTGGTCCTTGGCTCCCTCGATGAACTCCTCCAGGGTCAGCTCACCTGAGGGGTCAGAGGTCGCAGTTTCATCAACGAAGCAGCTTCAAACACACAAACATTTAGGGAACAAGCGTCTAAATACTTTAAAACCCCTGAGATTTGAGAAATTTAAGCGCTGCACAGGCTCAAAACTCAGTCCTGAACGCTTGCCTCGGAGAAATGTGTCTGCATTTGAGTTTGTCTTTGTGGTGTTTTGTGCTGTTTTTAGTCTCTTTGTGGTAATTTTACATGTCTTTGCAGCAGTTTTGTGTCTTTTCGTGGCAATTTTGTGTCTCTCTGTGGTTGTTTTGTGTCTCTGGGTATCTGTTCTGTTGCTTTTTGCTCATTTTATATCTCTATGTAGCAGTTTTGACTCTGTTTGTAGCTCTTTTTTGTCTTTGTGGTCATTTAGTATCTCTTTGTGTGTCTGTTTC